CCTCCCGGGTTCACGCAATTCTCCTGCCTCAGCTTCCCGAGTAGCTGGGACTACAGGCACCCACCACCGCGTCTGGCTAATTTTTTTGTATTTTTTAATAGAGATGGGGTTTCACCGTGGTCTCGATCTCCTGACCTCGTGATCCGCCCACCTCGGCCTCCCAAAGTGCTGGGATTACAGGCGTGAGCACCACGCCCGGCCTATCTGGGAGTGTCTTGTCTCTTTATGTGTACTTGTCTTATCTTCTTCAACTAGACTGCAAACTCTTTGATTTAGCTGAGTTAGGGATATAATTCTTTTTATCCCTCTCAGCAGCTAATTTATTGCTTTCCACACAGAAATCATAATCTGCTGGTTGAACTTGTTAAGTAAGGCAGTGATGCTAAGTGATTGATACAGATAATAAATTGGTAATCATTTTAATCCCAGGGCAATTATTAATGTACTGTGTTCCTTGATACACATAATTACATATAACATTATATATTATATAATATACTGTAGCCATTCACATATTTCTGTATTAGGTGCGTTTTTTTTAAATTGTTTTAACTTATCAGCTATCATTAGTGTTAGTATATTTTATGCGTGGCTTAAGACAATTCTTCTTCAGTGTGGCCCCGGGAAGCCAAAAGATTTGACACCCACCCGTGTTCTAGCTATGTAGAAACACATACTATACCATACTACTGGGCACTAAGTCAATGCTTCGTAATGTGAAAAAGTCGTCACTATATTTAGGTCTTCTTAATAATACATTTCATTATCTTAATTGCACCTATGTTTCATTTAGCCAGGGATTTCTTAGGGTAACAGTCACTAATTACCTGGAGATTGAGAAAAAACTCAGTTATGATTATTTGTTGCCCTTTCTTTTTCCCTGGTTGTCTATTTCAATGTATTCTTATCAATGAAACACTAAACAAACTTCTCTTAATCTAATGTAATTCTCTATAGTAGTTCATAGGAATTATGTAAGGTTCAGTTTAAAACAATGGATTCTTAAGATAGTATGTACTCTAAAGTTTGGTCTAGACACTAAATGAAAGTGAGTGCTTTGGCAGTTTATGTCCTAGGCTAAGTCAGGGTACAGATATATATCTATTAATTATCTTGTCTTTCCAGTCCAAACAGGGGCTTTACAGAAATGCACTGTATGAGTGGCCATTCCAATTTTGTATCTTGTGTATGCATCATACCCTCAAGTGACATCTACCCTCATGGCCTAATTGCCACTGGTGGAAATGACCACAATATATGCATTTTCTCACTGGACAGTCCAATGCCACTTTATATTCTAAAAGGCCACAAAAATACTGGTGAGTATAATAATACTTCGGTATTTTTCTATTTGAAGAAGTTTTATCCCTTTGAAAGTAAAATTTACATATCCATTTTCTCAAGTTTTTATTATATTTTGTTTTATCTATAGGTGTGGCTTGGTAATGGAAACCCTTTTGGGCTATCTTAGTTTTGTAAATTCTGTTAAAAATTTGTTGTGATCAGTAAAGGTTGATATGCTTATATATGTAGAAAGTAATCTGTTCAGTTATTGGCTGGGGACGGTGGCTCACACCTATAATCCCAGCACTTTGAGAGAGTGAGATAGATTACTTGAGGCCAGGAGTTCGGGACCAGCCTGGAAAACGTGGCGAAACCCCATCTCTAATAAAAATACAAAAATTATCCAGGCGTGGTGGTGCACACCAGTAATCCTAGCTGCTCTGGAGGCTGAAGCATGAGAATGGCTACAACCCAGCAGGCAGAGGTTACAATGAGCCAAGATCCTGCCACTGCACTCCAGCCTGGGTGACAGAGTGGAGGTTGTCTCAAAAAAAAAAAGTAAAGTGTTCAGTAATAAAAGAGGCTATATAATTTGAATATACTTCATGACTTTGGTTTTTAACTATTTTATGCAATGAATGCTTTTATTCAGGAAAACTAAAAGTATTTAATAAAAGACCCAGCCAGAAGCAGTGTGTTTAGGGCTGTGGTATTATTGAAGAGTATTTACATTTGCACATTATTTTCTGTGATTTGTATATATTTCTGATTCCGTGATAGTTCTGGATTTCTGTGTAGCTTAACAATTCTTTATTGTAGAATGACATGCTTAATCGGTGCACTAAGTATACTTTTTTTTAATATAAATGAAATGGTTTGGAACATTTTTCATAAACACTTTAAACTTAATTACTTTAAAGAATTTGTATAATGTGCCAGGCACCATGACTCATACATGTAATCCCAACACTTAGGGAGACTAAGACGGGAGGATTGCTAGAGGCAGTTTGAGACCAGCCTGAGCAACATAGGAAGACTCTGTCTCTACAAAAAATTAAAAAATTAGCTGGACATGGTGGTGAATACTTGTAGTCCCAGCTACTCAGGAAGTTAAGGTGAGAAAATCACTTTAGCCCAGGAGTTGGAGGCTGCAGCGCCACTGCACTCCAGCCTGGGTGATAGAGTGAGACCCTGTCTCCAAAAACAAAAATAATTTTTTTTTTTTTGAGACAGAGCCTTGCTCTGTCGCCCAGGCTGGAGTGCAGTGGCGTGATCTCGGCTCACTGCAAGCTCTGCCTCCCGGGTTCATGCCATTCTCCTTCCTCAGCCTCCCAAGTAGCTGGGACTACAGGTGCCTGCCACCATGCATGGCTAATTTTTTTGTATTTTTAGTAGAGACGGGGTTTCACCATGTTAGCCAGGATGATCTCGATCTCCTGACCTCGTAATCTGCCCACCTTGGCCTCCCAAAGTGCTGGGATTACAGGCATGAGCCACCGCACCCAGCCAACAAAAATAATTTTTTATTTTTAATAATTTTTTAATTTTAATATTAATTTATTTTGAGACAGTCTCCATCTGTCACCAGGCTGGAGTGCAGTAGTGTGATCTTGGGTCACTACAGCCTCTGCCTCCCGGGTTGAAGCGATTCTCCTGCCTCAGCCTCCAGAGTAGCTGGAATTACAGACACCCACCACCACGCCCAGCTCAGCTCACTTTTGTGTTTTATTGTTTTGTTTTGTTTTGTTTTGTTTTGTTTTTAGACAGAGTCTCGCATGGTCACCAGGCTGGAGTGCAGTGGCGTGATCTCGGCTCACTGCAACCTCTGCCTCCCGGGTTCAGGCAATTCTGCCTCAGCCTCCTGAGTAGCTGGGATTACAGGCACCCACCACCACACCCAGCTAATTTTTGTATTTTTAGTAAAGACAGGGTTTTACCATGTTGGCCAGGATGGTGTCGATCTCTTGACCTTGTGATCTGCCCGCCTTGACCTCCCAAAGTGCTGGAATTACAGGTGTGAGCCATCAAGCCCGGCCTATTTTTGTGTTTTTAGATAGGGATGGGATTTCACCATGTTGGCCAGGCTGGTCTTGAACTCCTGACCTCAGGTGATCCACCCGCCTCAGTCTCCCAAAGTACTGGGATTACAGGCGTAAGCCACTGTGCCCAACCAAAACAGAAAGAATTTTTAAATGTTTGTGTGCATATGTGTGTGTTTGTGTGAGAAATCTTCAATACAGAGTGATACAGATTTTTAAAATTTTATTATGGAAATCGAATGTACACAAAAGTAGAGGTATCTTATTTTTGTTTCATCTTCCCCTCCTTCTACTACATCATTTAAAAATTTCTGATATTCTATTATTTTGTTTATAAATACATCCTTCATTATGTGGCTCTAAAATAGGGGATGGCAAACTTTTTCTTTAAAGGATCAGATAGTAAATACATTTTAGGCTTTTCAGGCCATATGGTTGCTATCATAACTGCTCAGCTCTGCAGTTGCAGTGCACAGCAGCTATAGACAGTAAATAAACAAATGAGCATGTCTGTGTTTCAATAACTCTTCATTTGTGAACACTGAAATTTGAATTTCATAGAATTTTCACATATTAGAAGATTGCCTTTGATTCTTTTTCTCTCAATTACTTAAATATGTAAAAGCCATTCTTAGGTTGTTAGGTGTACAAATACAGGTGGCTCACTGGCATTAGTTTGCTGACCCTTCTAAAAGATAAAGACACTCTCGTCCTCTAAAAGGAAAGAATAACCACAATATTATTATCACACCTAAAACAAAACAAAAACTAATCTATTGTCAACTATCAAAATGAATGTTCAAATTTACCCAGTTGTGTCATAAATGTTTTTTACAGTTTATTTGAATTCTGACCCAAATAAGGTCCACATCTTTTTTTTTTTTTTTTTGACAGGGGAGATGGAGTCTCGCTCTTTTGTCCAGGCTGGAGCACAGTGGCGTAATCTTGGCTTACTGCAACCTCCGCCTCCCGGGTTCAAGTGATTCTCCTGTCTCAGCCTCCCAATTAGCTGGGATTACAGGTGCCCACCACCAGGCCTGGCTAAGTTTTTTGTAGTTTTAGTAGAGACGGGTTTCGCCATGTTGTCCAGGCTGGTCTCAGACTCCTGACCTCTGGTGATCCATGTTGTCCAGGCTGATATCTAACTCCTAACCTCTGGTGATCTGCCTGCCTCAGCCTCCCAAAGTGCTGGGATTACACGCATGAGCCACCGTGCCCAGCCCTACATCTTTCAATCGTCAGTTTCTTTCTTTTTTCCTTGTTGTTTGAAACCAGATTATTTTAGCTGTAGAATTTCCCACAGTCTCAATTTTACTGGTTAAAGCCTTGCTGTTCCCCTTAATGTGTTCTTCAGTCACCTATATTTCTTGTAAGCTGTTAGATAGATCTAGTAGCTTTATCAGGTTCAGAGTCAAGTTTCTGGCAACAGTATATGTGGTATTCTGTATTTTCTGTTGTATCACATCAGGAAGCACACAATATCTTTTCGTGATATTAAGATTGATCAGTGGAGCCGGGCGCAGTGGCTCGCCCCTGTAATTCCAGCACTTTGGGAGGCCGAGGCGGTTGGATCACAGGGTCAGGAGATCGAGGCCAAAACCCTGTCTCTACTAACAATACAAAAAATTAGCCGGGCGTGGTGGTGGGTGCCTGTAGTCCCAGCTACTTCAGAGGCTGAGGCAGGAGAATGGCGTGAACCCGGGAGGCAGCGCTTGCATTGAGCGGAGATTGTGCCACTGCACTCCAGCCTGGGCGACAGAGTGAGACTCTGTCTCAAAAAAAAAATAAATTAAATAAATAAATAAAGATTGATCAGTGGGTTCAAGTATTGTATCATTCATTCATTATAAAGTTCCCATCAGCCTTTCACATAATGGTAATTTTTAGCAGCTACTGATAATCATTTCCTAGATTCGATATTCTATTAAGATTAACAAAATGATTGTACTGTAATTCTAATATTATTTCTGCATTTGATCACCAACACTTTTCTGTATAGATCTTTCCACATCAACTCTGGTTACCATGTGGAACTTTTATAGAGAAAAGACAGAATAAATGCTTGCCTTAACCCTTCTCCTAAATTATTTACTGATTTTCAGAAGGAGTTGTTTACTGAATATCTTTTTTTTTCTTTTCATTTCTCAAATTGTTTCATATCTGGCCATTGGAAACCTCTTTAAATTGGCTCCTATGACCTTTTAATAAGACCTTCAGTAGTCTTCCTTGCTTTCTAATATTACAGAATGTTCTAAGTTCAATTTGCACATTTCTTGCTCGAGACCTCAAACCAGCACTTTTGCCAGGAAGTCCTGTTTGTTTTTTTTCTTTTAATGGGAAATGGTATTTTGTTCAATTATTTTATACTGCTTTGTGGAAGAATGTAAAGAGCACCCAAGTTACAACTATTAAGATCTCAAGCTGGGCACGGTAGTGCACGCCTGTAATCACAGCACTTTGGGAGGCCGAGGCAGGTGGATCACCTGAGGTCAGGAGTTCACGACCAGCCTGACTAACATGGTGAACTCCGTCTCTACTAAATACAAGAAAATTAGCTGGGCGTGGTGACGCATGCCTGTAATCCTAGCTACTTGGGAGGTTGAGACAGGAGAATCACTTGTGCCTGGGAGGCAGAGGTTGCAGTGAGCCAAGATCGTGCCATTGCACTCCAGCCTGGGCAACAAGAGCAAAACTCCATCTCAAAAAAAAAAAAAAAAAAAGATCTCAGTGACATAACATATGAGTATTTCTCATTAACCCTGCATGTTCAACATGGATTAATAAAGGGACTCTGTTCATCAGATTTTCTCAGGGACTCAGACTGATGGGGCTTTCTCTCCACACGTGCTTCAGTAGTTGTTGCAGCAGTCAAAGGGCAACATGGTTAATAAGGCACTGGCTGTCTGGGCGCGGTGGCTCACGCCTGTAATCCCAGCACTTTGGGAGGCCAAGGTGGGTGGAACACAAGGTCACAAGATTGGGACCAGCCTGACGAACATGGTGAAACCCCGCCTCTACTAAAAATACAAAAATTAGCCGGGTGTGGTGGCGGGCACCTGTAATCCCAGCTACTTGGGAGGCTGAGGCAGGAGAATTGCTTGAACCCAGGAAGTGGAGGTTGCAGCGAGCCGAGATCACACCACAGTAGTCCAGCCTGGTGACGGAGTGAGACTCCACCTCAAAAAAAAAAAAGAAAAAAAGGCACCAGCTTTTAAAAGCATGTGCCTTCCTTGAATGTCACAGTAGTGGATAATTTTTAAAAATCAATTTTAAAAAACACCAAAAACGTGTCTGACTGAAAGTGTCAGCTACCATTTCTGACATTTCTGTTAAAGCTGGAAAGTGTGTTGACTAATGCAAGTATCATGACTGTGCCTTAACTTCAAATGGAGGAGGAAAGTACCATCCTCCCATGCGTCCAAAAAGGGAGAGTTACCACAGCATGCTTTCTGGTCATCAATTATTCAGCGTCATCAGACAATCCAAAAGTCTTCTCTGAGTGATGCTAAGTATTCTAAACATCAGGGAGGAGATGCTTATAAGTAAGCTGTCACCCATACCCAGTATACAATTATGGAAAAGGAATAGGATAATCAGAGCAAACCCTCTCATTCAGAAGAGGAAGCAGTGCGGGACAACAGTTTTTAATCTAGAGCCATTCTGAAATCCAAATAAGTGGCTGTCTCAAGGATCCTGAACTCAGGGTAGAGAGAGTTTTGTGATTGCTTCCTTCTGGTCTAGGAAAAAGGTTTCCCAATCCATTGTTCTTTATGGCTGTGCTTCGACCCCCCAGGATATTCTTCTTTGTAAGGTAATTTTTTTTTTCTTTTTTCTTTTGAGAGAGGGTCTCGCTTTGTTGCCCATACCAAAAGGCAGTGCTGCTACAACTCACTGCAGCCTTGACTTCCCAGGCTCAAGTGGTTCTCTTACTGGGACGACAGGTGCGTGCCACCATGCCTGATTAATTTTAAAATTTTTTTAGAGGCGGTGTCTCACTATATTGCCCAGGCTGGTCTCAAACTCCTGAGCTCAATCCAAAATGCTAGGATTACAGGCATGAGCCACTTCACCTGGCTAATTTTTCTTTTCTTTTTGTTTTAAAGACAAGATCTTGCTGTGTAACCCAGGCTGAAGTGCAGTGGTATGTGATCACAGTTCACTGCAACCTCTGTGCCCTGGGCTCAAGCAGTCCTCCCACCTCAGCCTTCCAAGTGGCTGGGACCACAGGCGCATACCACCACTCTCAGCTAGTTTTTTGTACTTTTAGTAGAGATGGGGTCTCGCCACATTGCTTAGGCTGGTCTCGAACTCCTGAGCTCAAGCAGTCTGCCTGCCTTGGCCTCCCTAAGTGCTGGGATTACAGGTGTGAGTCACCATGCCTGGTGTAATTTTTCGTATTTGTAATTTTTAGCCTGCATACTTTTATATCAAGAAAGACATTTAATTAACCATTTCATTACTGTTGGACTTTGAGCTTGGCTGCAGGTTTTATGGTCATTTTAATGAAAGCAATCTTAAATATATATATAAACAGTGTTTCGAAATCATTTACATTATCTCCCTATTATGATTTGTTAAAGCTGGAAGGATTGTGTATTTCACTTAAGTTCTGCTGCCTCATTTTGCAGACAAGGAATCTGATTTTGAGTAGTATTTCTGCAGTTACGTGACTTGTAAGTGCACAGATAGGCCTTGCACCTAGGCAGTCTGGCACCAGCGTCTGCTCTTGACCACTGTACTCTTGTGTGTCTCTGCTGAATTAAGCCTTAGTTAGCTAAGATACCGCCACTTCAAAGAGTGTTTTTAAAATTGGAATGCTTTAGTAACTTTCAATGTTGAGCATTTTTCTATATGAAAATGTGTTATCTAATGATGTTTTTTCCTTAGTTTGTAGTCTATCATCTGGAAAATTTGGGACATTACTTAGTGGTTCATGGGACACCACTGCTAAAGTCTGGCTGAATGACAAGTGCATGATGACCTTGCAGGTACAGTAGTTCTGTGTAAATATTCTAAAGAATAATTAAATTGAATGATTCTGTGGCAACTTAAATTGATACCCATTTTACTCACAGGGTCATACAGCTGCAGTGTGGGCGGTAAAGATCTTACCTGAACAGGGCTTAATGTTGACTGGATCAGCAGACAAGACTATTAAACTGTGGAAGGCTGGAAGATGTGAGAGGACTTTTGCAGGTAAGATCAGGGTAGACAAGTTTTATAATATCATTGCTTTTTATTTGCTCAGATATTTTTTCTCAGAAGTTTAAAAGCATTTGAAAATATTTGAAAACATTAGTATATTTAAGCTACTAATTTGAGTTAATGTAATTTTTCTGATGAGTTAATATCTAATACCTTTAAAAAAGATATAATGAGACCTCTCATAAAACAGCCAGGTGTAGACTGATAAATAGCTGTCTGATAAGCTATATATAATATGTGTATGTGCTCTGCATATATGTATGTAAATTTTGGTACATAGTTATATTCTTGGTTGTCATTTTAATACTTTTAGCCTAAAACTTCTAAACATAAGCCTTATTGATGGTTAGTCAGCAGTGTTATCTTCATATATGGAAGAAAGCATTATTAATGTCTTTATATTGAAGCACATTGTTTATAATGGATTTCAGGCTTTGTTTATGTTGTGGTTTGTGGTGAGTATTCTTTTTAAGCCCCAGCTATTAAATAATGCCAATACTGATGCATCTGCTATCTAATAGTAATATCACTGATTTATTTGTAGAGTACTTAAATTTTTACTGTGAATTTTAATTGGTGTTGTTTTTCCTCTCTTTTTGAATTTTTCCTTAAAAGTTGGTAACTACCCTAGATAATATGCAAGAGGTCCCTTTGTACAGATAAAAGTGTCTTTTGGCTGGGCGTGGTGACTCACACCTGTAATCCCAGCCCTTTGGGAGGCTGAGGTGGGCGGATCACTTGGGACCAGGAGTTCAAGACCAGCCTCAGCAACATGGTGAAACCCTGTCTCTATTAAAAATTTTAAAAAGGCTGTGCGCGGTGGCTCACACCTGTAATCCCAGCACTTTGGGAGGCCGAGGCGGGTGGATCACAAGGTCAAGAGATCAAGACCATCCTGGCCAACATGGTGAAACCCTGTCTCTACTAAAAATACAACTGGGCGTGGTGGTGCGCACCTGTAATCCCAGCTACTCGGGAGGCTGAGGCAGGAGAACTGCTTGAACCCGGGAGGTGGAGGTTATAGTGAGCCGAGATTGTGCCACTATACTCCAGCCTGGCGATGGAGCAAGACTCTGTCTCAAAAAAATAAAATAAATATAAATAAAAATACAAAAAAATTAGCCAGGCATAGTAATGCACGCCTGTAATTCCAGCTATTTGGGAGGCTAAGGCACAAGAATCTCTTGAACCCTGGAGGCAGAGGTTGCAGTGAGCAGAGATAGCTCCATTGCACTCCAGCATAGGCAACAAAGTGAGACTCTGTCTCACAAAAGCAAGAAAGAGAAACAAAAAAAGTATCTTTTGATGGAAAGTGGATGATGACTAAACATCCTTTTATTTCTGCTTCAATATATATTATATATATGTATCAATCATTATTAATCTGTGATAGCTAATCTAAGTCAGCAAATACTGAGCATAGGAAATCTGACTTCTGATCTCCTTCACAAGCTTCAGAGAATGTTTTGTTCTTAAATTTATGGGCTATTCTTTGTTTTATATTTCTATTATGTTTGAATATTATGTATTTTATAACTTACGCTTGTTATTTGGGAAGAAAAATTAAAAATGAATTATCAGGTGGAAATGAATTGTTGGGATCAAAATACTATTTCTAGAGGTTTTTGTAGAAGACAGGATGAATATAAAATAACTTCCCAAGACTGATGATAAAAAAATATTGCTAAACCTTAAATACAAATTTTGGTTACCAGACTTTCAACAGAAAATAAGATTTCTCTAACTTGAAAATTAATTTTTACTACTCACTGATATGTTTTATAATGTTTGTAAAATGTATAAAGCCATCAGCCAAATTATCTGTTTTATTGATATGCATTATTGTTTTTTAATGCAGGGCATGAAGACTGTGTAAGAGGTTTGGCAATTTTGAGTGAAACAGAATTTCTTTCCTGTGCAAACGATGCTAGTATTAGGAGGTGGCAAATCACTGGCGAGTGTCTTGAAGTATATTATGGACATACAAATTATATTTACAGCATATCCGTTTTTCCAAATTGTAGAGGTAAGGTTATATTATGTATTTAATGTTTTGTATTGATCATTCCGTCCCATTTGTGAGATGGAAGGAGGAGGGCTGATTACTGTCTGTGGGGACTTGAATAATTTACTAAATTTATTTCGTAAGTATCTTTCTCCTGTTTACAAAGAAGAAAATTGTATGGTGATCTTTGTATTAATTCAGATTACATTGTTGTGTTGTAAAAAGTTCTTGGGTATCTGAAGAAAGACTTTGTAAGATGTGACATGAATAAAAAATGTGATTTTGAAGTTGTATATGTTGTAGGTGACAAAACATGAAATTTAAAGCTGTAATTTTAAAACTCTTTGGGTTTCAGAAAGTGTATCCGGAAAGATGGTATGTATAAATGTACTTAATTTTATTTATTCAAACTAATACTTCCTATGTTCATTAATTTTAGACTTTGTGACAACAGCAGAGGACAGATCTCTGAGAATCTGGAAACATGGGGAATGTGCTCAAACCATCCGACTTCCAGCTCAGTCTATATGGTGCTGCTGTGTGCTCGACAATGGTGACATTGTGGTTGGTGCGAGGTATTTATATCCTAGTCAGTCATTAAATGTTATGTGTCTAGGCCTTCAGTAGGCGCTAGAGTGTATAGAGATAAGCCATAAGGAATTTCAGGTGTCTTGGGAAGACTATATGGACACTTCAATTACTAAACAAAACAGTAGTAGATTTTATAGCTTTCACATTAAGTGATGCATGATGTACCAGTATTGTACTGCAATTGTGCAGTCAAGATATTGACTACAAAAGAAGTTGGAGAAGGTAGAGATTGGTGTGGGAAAACTTTCTGTAGAAGAAGTTTGAATTGGATTTTGGAAGATTATGAGTAAGAAAAGGTACGTGAATTTTTGTCAAAGCTAAGAGTATAAGTTTCCTTCATGAGAATGAATGCAGCATGCCTAGGAAGTGAAGGAAAATGGTGGAGTACTGATGCTGGGATAATAGGTACAATGGGGCTTAACTGTGGAGAACCTTTAGTGCTTTCATGCCAGGCATTTTTTAGATTCATTGCTTGGGGTTAAAGGGTTGTGGTTCTTGAGCAAGAAATAGAATTGAAGCAGAACTTACGAATTATTAAATGTGTAGATTGGATTTAACTACTGGTGACAATGGACAGGAAAGTATATTAGAAAGCAAATATAGTAGGAGTGTGAAGTTATAAGACATTGGCCCCACAATGCTAATGGGTAGGAAATAAATAAATGAGATAATCCAGAAGGAAAACAGTCAGAAAAAGGATGAAAGAAAAGGATAAAGCTTCAAACTGTTGGTGATTGGAAGTCCCCATTAATAAAAATGGAGAAGTGGGAGAATTGGTTGGGTACAGAAGGTGATGACTGTGGCCTTAGACTTCCTGAGGTCTGCAGTGGTGGTGAGCCACACTCATGCCAGTGGATCATGGTCATTTGAACTGGAGCCTAGTATAAGAACTGAGGCTAAGATAAAGATTTCGCAACGCTTCCAAAAGCAAACCATAGAACACCATTCTCTGAGAGAAGAAATACAGGGGAGGAACAGAAGACTAAGAACTGAGTTTTATGATACACCATTAGTAGAGAAAAAGAAGCTAGTAGGTTAAACAAAACAAAGCAATTCAAATGTTGAAATTTCTGGGAGACAGAAAAGGAAAGATTTTGGAGGGAGATTGTCATCAGTGTCAAAAAGTGTTTGAGGAGTCAAGGAATGGTAAGTTTGGAAAGCATCTGGATTTGAAAGATGTTGTTAGTGACTTTTGGCATCAATCACATTTTGAATGGAAAATGATAGGAAAAAAGGCAAATAAGAGGAAATAAAGGGTTGGAGGAGATGGATGAAGGATCGTAGACTACTCTATAATGCTACTGTAACATTGAAAGCAATAAGAAGGCCAGCTGCTGTGGCTCACACTTGTAATCCCAGCACTTTGGGAGGTCAGGGGGGAGGATCGCTTGAGCTCAAGAGTTCGAGACTATCCTGGGTGAGCTCCTGAGACCCTGTCTCCACAAAGAAAATTCTTTAATTAGCTGGGCGTGGTGGCATGCATCTGTAGTCCCAGCTGCTCAGGAGGCTGAGGTGGGAGGATTGCTTGGGCCCGGGAATTTGGGGTTGCAGTGAGCTGTGATTGCCGCCGCTGCACTCCAGCCTAGGTGACAGTGGGACCCTGTCTCAAAAAAAAAAAAAAAAGAAGAAGAAAAAGAAGGTGACAGCTATAAGGGATAGAGAGTCTAATAAAGTGAGTGTTTTATTTTTTGGCTGGAACGGGGTGATTTATAGGCTTAGTTTTTTTCCCCCCAAGCATATTTGAAGTTGAAGAAAAACCAATAGAAAGAGTGATACACATGTTTGTGGATGATTAAATTAGAAACAGGTTTCCTGTAGAATGGGCCAGGATTAATACAACTGAAAGTGTCTAATTTGCTTCTCCTATCTCAACATTTAGAATTAAGAAATCATGGAGATGAAGTAATTTTTCTGAGAAAAGAGGTTAAGATTGGCCATCTAATCCAAACATTAGGCCATTTTTTTTTCCCCTTGATTGAAGTTACATTGCTAGTTACTGGCATAGTAAAGGAAGACCATATTTTTCTACTGAACATCTGCTAATTTTAAGCCCTACGTTGGGTCTTTGAGCCCTTTATAAACTAAACTAGCCCACTACCCTTCTCTATATGGTAATAACTATATAATATTGACTTTAAAACTACATACTATAGTTCTAGATTTTTACGATGGTAAATATTTAACTTGGAATTGGAACTTGTGTAAAATACGTATTTCTCTGTTCTTTGTCAATAATTTGTCTATTAAATAGTTGACATAATAGTAGTATGTGCTGAAGTCAGCACAGTGCTATAATCAGCAATTAATACGTGCTAATGTTTCTCCTTCACAAATACAGATGATTTTTACTATGGATCATTCAGGTGTGATAATGTTAATGTATTATGGCAATGACTTTTTAAATCAGTTTATTTTTCCTTACAGTGATGGCATTATTAGAGTGTTTACAGAATCAGAAGATCGAACAGCAAGTGCTGAAGAAATCAAGGCTTTTGAAAAAGAGCTGTCTCATGCAACCATTGATTCTAAAACTGGCGATTTAGGGGACATCAATGCTGAGCAGCTTCCTGGGAGGGAACATCTTAATGAACCTGGTAAGTATTTTATTGTAGCTAGTAGGAAAAATTCACCATATTTGACTTTTGGAATAATTAAGAGAAGAAAAATAAATGTTGTTTTGCTCGTGTTTTAGTGTTACTCTCATTGCTAGATGCTGATTTTTGAGAATTTCTACTATTATATATAATCACTATGAGAAACCATGTTCTTGCCTCTGTCTCACGGTAGACTTTGAATTAAGCTTCTCATAAACAGGAATTAAAAAATAAATCTCCCAAGACTTAGACCATTTACAGTAGGCATTCAAAAGGCACTCATTTAATACTTTTTGGTTGATTGGATTCTCTAAGAGGGGTTGTACAAACTGAATATTAGAACGAGTTTAAATACATAATTAGCCAGGTGTGATGGCATGTTCCTATAGTCCCAGCTACTCGGGAGGCTGAAGTGGGAGGATGATTGAGCCCAGCAGGTCGAGGCTGAGCTGAGACCACACTATTGCACTCCAGCACAGGTGACAGAGTGTGACTGTGTCTCAAAAAAAAAAAA